AAACTAAACGAGATTCATTTTTAAAATTTAACTTTGAGTGAAATCGCCGGTGGAGCGTATGTATTCATTGGCCAATCTTTTCCATTAATTTTCAAATTTTTTGGAGAATCAACACGTAATGATGGAATAGAAAATTTCTAAAACAAAAATCAATTTGTTTTTTATCTTTATTTTTTTCAGTCGATTAATTTTACTTCTTTTCGCCATTCAATATTCATTAAACGATAAACTGGTTTAGGAATTTCAATAATATCACCAAGTGAAACTGACGTTGAAATATCAACATAATAAACAGTTACAAGAACGCAACGTTCTTCCGTATCAACTAGTATAAACATTCTATATGAATAAAATAAATAATATTGGGAGAAATAAAAGATTTTTTTTTGTTTCATACAGTTTAACATCTTGTACACCAAGACTAGCAACAACTGTACCACGATATGTGACATTTTCATTTTCTCCTGAACGAAGAAATTCAAGTGGAACAACATTATTATTAATTGGTGGAGTTTCATTTAATACTGAAATTAATGTTTTAAATTTTTTTGGTTTTATTCGACCCTTTGAAAAATAAATAAATAAGACAATGTAAATATTCACTTTTCAATATATGACATCAATTCAACATACTTTACATGCAATCAGATCTGTTATTGTACGTAAATAACTGAGTAATTGATCTTGATTATTACGTGCATCTTCATTTTCGGAATCAAGTTCAAGTGCATGTTCATATGAAGCAAGAGCATCTGCATAATCTTCATGATATTGAAGAGCCTTAATAAAGAAAGATATTTATATGAATGCATATTAAACACGATTCAAAGAGGAAATGAAAGTATGAATAAGATTATATAGAATCGTATTCGTGTCTTACAAGAAAACATTTCCAACTGACACATTCTATTTAAGATCATAGTTTACTCCCACGTAAGACCTGATAAAAGTTTGGACGCAGTCGTTCTCTCCGATCTATTCTACAGAATTATGATTATTATAACTGAGTTTTTTTATTTCTAATGCGTCGTCACATAAAAACTCGATGAATAAGTTGAAACCTTATTTATTTCTCAAATGAGTTTTATTATTTCCTACAAATTGAATCTATAAGAGAAGCTCTCTTCCTTCAGATATAGGACGTTTTATCCAATAAAATGATCAGAATTAGAGAAGAAAAATCTAAAAATATGAGTTCCTGTCCATTGATAGTACTTAGAGTATTACTATTAAAGATTCTGAAACAATCTACACATTGCAATTAGATTGAATTATATTTCGATATAAAACTATTCTTTTATCAGATAATCTAAGATATTATCATGTATTAGAGTCAAAAACCATGAAATTTATCATTATATATTTTCATCAAATGGTACTTATCTAAAACAGATGTATACCAAACTTTCTAGCTCTTTTTCTATTACTGAAACAGCTGACGATTATTATGTGTATTTCCAAGGACGTCTATCATGTTGAAAAAACAAAAAGTGTATGTCTTACCACTCCTCGACTGTAATGTAAATCTCCATCGCTTTCCGATGCTGGATCTTTGAGCTATTTGATATAAAATTAAAGATACATATATAAATTAAATGAATTACTTACAGCAAGATTATAAGCACTAAATGCTTGTTTTAAATTTTTTGGATGATTTTCAACCATGAAATAAAAACATACATAAGAATTTGCAAGTGTATCTTTAGAAGAAGAAAAAAAATCAATCATAAAAAGATACTGATTAGAAAGTAGAATAACTTACACCATGATGCTCCATCTTTAACATCAACTTCAACAGCTTGTTTAGCATATTGAATACTTTCTTCAATCATTCGATTTCTTTCTGTTCGATCAGTTATTTTTGATGCTAATTGTCTTGTAACAATTGATAAATTTCTTAAAACAAATCGATTTTTTTCCTAAAGAAATTTAATTAATTAAAATCTTCTTCTTCTTTGAGTTTTTCTTACTTTGCTATTTGCATTTTTAAAACAACTAGCAGCCATTTCAAATTCTCCATTTTTTGCATAACTTTCTCCAAGTTCATTTAATGTTAAGACATTTGATGGTTGAAGAAGTGCAGCTTTACTTAAATAATCAGTTGCACGTTTATCATATTCAGGAAAGATATTAAATGCACGTCCTTTCCAATATGAAAACAACGCACGTTGACATGGATCACGTATTTGTTCTATTAGAATAATGAAATACAATATGTTTTTCTAATTATATTCAATATTAACCTTCAATTTCATTGTAATTCGAAAGAATTTGTTCAAGTCGTGTTCGAATTAATTTATAACGATTTTTCAATGATTCATTAGGTTTAGAATTTGGTTTAAATAATTCATCACGATATTGATAAAGATTTTCAACATCAGTCTAAAGAAAAACATTTTTTTATATGAAGTCAACTCGTTCGATATACATGATTGTATGACATATGACGTCTACCTTAGTTAATATAAAGAGCAAACTATCGATGTTTTGGTAAATATGAGTAATATACAGTGGGAAGAAAAGAAAAACAAATAATTGTCCATTATTATTTATATGAATCAGTCATATATATATATGAATCAAAAGTCGTAGAAATAATAGTTACTGACATTTCTATTGAGAATAAATATGATATAATGAAAATAAAAAATATTAACAGAAACACATTTCAATATGTATGAAATAGATAAAAATTACTAAGAAATTTTCATATATACTCATTTTCTATTATTCATCTATATATGAATTTTTTACCCATGACTTCCTTTTATTATTATGAATTTCAGTTAAATTATACTATGTTTCTTTTTGTGTTATTATCATAT